CGTCCCCTTCTTCTTTTGCCCTCCATCTTTCCCAGCATTAGGCTCTTCTCCAGTGAGTCCTTCCTTCCTATTATTCTTTTAGCATTACTATTATATTATTAGTGGGAACGCGGTGACTCAGTGACTAAGATGCTGAGCTTGTCAATCAGAAAGGTTAGCAGTTCGAATCCCTAGCATCCATTACTTGTCCCAGCTTCTGCCAACCTAGCAGTTTGAAAGCACATTAAAAATGCAAGTAGAAAAATAGGAACACCCTTTGGTGGGAAGGTAACAGTGTTCCCTGCACCTTTGGCGTTTAGTCCTGCCAGCCACATGACCACGGAGACGTCTTTCGGGCAGTGCTAGCTCTTCGGCTTTGAAACAGAGATGAGTACTGCCTCCTAGAGTCAGGAACAACTAGCACATATGTGTGAGCGGAACCTTTACCTTTATTATGTTATTATTCATATTAGTTTTTTGTATTACTCCTCAAACCATTATATGTTCTTTGCCTTTGGGAGGGAGGCAGGGAGGGGATGTTGAGGGTAATGCCCACCATATGGATCCAGACATCTTGCCAGAAATCTTGCCATCTGCCCAGAAGTGCAGAACTCACTGGTGTTCAATGACTTCACCAACCAGAGGTTCTCCTTGGAAGGAATTCAACATCAGTTAAGCTGGATCAGTGTCTCCAGAATCCTCGCGACTTACATCTGGGTTACATTGTTGGCAATGATTATGGCAGTGATTAGCCCTTGTTGCCCCATTCTGGAATAATTTCCAATTTCTCAGTCTAACCCATAACTTCTGGAGAGTTTGTAGTAGTCTCCTATCCAAGTGGTAATCAGGTTTGATCTGCCTATTTTGTTTAAATCAGTCAAGGCTGGCTAGATTCTGCTGCTTGCCAAGGCAGCCCTTTCCAATATGCAGTTAATTGAATTTCATTTCATTTAGAATCATCTTTTCTACTAGCCACCTGCTTCCAATTTTTTCCTCACTACCTTGACGGATTTGATTGCTTGGTTCTGGGGTTGTTTTGGCCTTTGATACTGTAATGAAAGAAAGGGTAGTCCCAAATTTTCCTTGCTGCAATACTATAGTCAATAGCTTCCTTTCACACAAAATACTATGTTAACTCAATGGGTTATGGTGCTATTTCTCAGCTTTGGCAAATTTAAGATGGGTGGATTTCAATTCCCAGAGTTCTTCAGCCAGCCTTGCTGTCCACCCATCCTAATTTTGCCAAGATTAGGAAACTCTGGGTTAGGAAAACCTGTGGCTGAAGCATTCACACAACAACTTGGTTAATATTAAGCTTGATGGTGTGTGTGTGTGTTTTAGTGTGTCGAGTGGATGACATCCATTTGGCTAGACTGGAGTTTGAGAGGCTAAAATTTCCACAATCAGCACACAACTCAGGGAGGCCTTTGATAGTAGACCTAAAGTTGCAGCCAGACAACCACCCAAGGGAAACAGATTCCCACAAGCCAAGAAACAACAGAACAATGATATTAACATGGCGACCAGGACATTTAATGTGTTAGAATATTCATGGGTGGGAGAGTCATGATAACAAGGTCAGCCAATGAATAGCACAGCAACTAAGTCAGCCAATGGGAGGTGAAACAACTAGGGGCCAGGGCGTGGTTTAGCCTGCAACCTTCTGTGTCTGTGCAGAGAATTGAAACAGAAACTTAAGCTCTCTGTCTGCTCTGAACTCTGATATGAAACTGTTGTCTTCTGCTAGTGTTCTGCTTGTAACTTGAAATAATCTACTATTGGTATTGTACATTTATTCATCTGTTATTATGTGTATAAAGAAGTTAATGAATCCAGCTGAATCAGTTATGTGTGTGTCAGGGGTGGGTTCCGGCTTCTGTTACTGCCTGTTCATTCAGGGACGTGCTACATGTGTGCGTGCTTGATGTGTACTAAGAGCACATGTGCAGTAGTAAAAAAATGCTTCTGCACATGCGTAGAAGCAAAAAAACAAGATGGCGGTGCCTATGGTGCAAACCGATAGAACTGGTTTGAGGGTGTGGCCAGCCGAGTTGCTACCTATTTGTCCGAACCGGTCCAAACCAGTAGGAACTACGCGGAGGAGAGCCTTCTCAGTTGCAGCTCCGACGCTTTGGAACGATCTCCCCGTGGAGATTCGCACCCTCACCACCGTCCAGACCTTCCGCACAGCCCTCAAGATCTGGCTATCCCGTCAGGCCTGGGGATAAGACCCTAACCTCGCCCCACCCGAATGCTGAATGAATGTTGTGTTTTACTGGTTTATTTTTTTTAATTCACTTTTTTTTTTCTTGTGTTCTGTCTTGCACTCCCTCCCCTCCCTATTAATTGTAAGCCGCCCTGAGTCCCCTCAGGGAAAAGGGCGGCCTATAAATGTCAAATAAATGACTAAATGACTAAACTCACCTGTGGTATGTGTGCTTTCTGGATTTGATTTTTCTGCAACAAACTGATAGTAAGGACCCCAGATCTCTGTTTTACTGCCACATTTACACCAACAGCACCATCACAGGCCCCAACAATTTCACACACAAATTTAGAGTCACCTTCACATACCTTTCTTCTAATGTGATAGCAATGGCTCTCTGGATTCTGTAAACAAGCCAGGCTTTGTGCAAAATAATTAATGGTCCGGTTTGATATCAGAAAGTAATTGGAGAGCATTTAACCTCCCAGGACACTCACAGATCACAAGTCATAATTCTGCGTCAAAAGGAGTATGCCAGCACAGTTGAGCGTGAGACGGCTGAATATACATCAATATGTCCTAGGCTATTTCAGAAGGCCTGAACAAACATATCAATTGTTAATGGGCGAAGGACTTGCAATCTGTCCACCTTGAACCTTTATCTGCTTAACCTTAACAAGAGTTGATTAGTTTGTGTGATAGACAGCTTTGTAAGTTTGAAAAATAAATAACACCCCCCCACCCCACCCCAACCCATGAGCTACAGTTCACAAAACTTATGCCTCATTATAACATTTGTTAGCCTTAAAAGGTGAAGACTCCTTACGTTTTTTCTCCAACTTGGTACCTACAATCTGTAACATTTTTCATAGTTCTCTGCCTGGAGGAACATCAGCATTGAGAAATTCTAGGGTTCATAGTTATATTTCTATTTCATATTTGTAGTTTGAAGACTTGGGGAAAGGTTTTCTTAGATCTTGGATGTCCTCATTAGGGCAGGATCTCCATATTCATAGATAATCTTATCTTCTTCAAAGCAGCTAGAAAAGACCCTCGGGACTTCCAAGAATTATATGGCTGGCCAAGAGTGAGAGAAACAGAAATTTAATCAGAGAGACCTTCGTACAATTACTCTATTTACATTGGGTTCTTTTACAAGTAGCCTTTGTGCCCATCTCATACACTCAAATGCTTTTTCTGTTTCCTTGTTTTGGATAGGTAGCTGTCACAGCACGAGAAGATGTCCCGTCTTTTGGTCCTTCACTGCCAAGCCCACCTGTATTTCAAAAAGTAAGACCCAACTCTAACCTTAAAACAAAGTTTGTTTGGTTCGTAAGGGAAATAATTTGGGAGATCTGGGAGAGGGGATTGAATTTAATAGATTGATTTAAATCTAAGAGCCACAGTGGTGTTTAGAATGCAGTACTGATGCTACTTCTGCTCATCACTGGCTGCCGGCAATTTGGCAGTTCAAGTCTCACCAGGCTCAAGGTTGACTCATCCTTCCATCCTTCCAAGGTTGGTAAAATGGGGACCCAAATTGTTGAGAGCAATGTGCTGATTCTGTAAACTGCTTAGAGAGGGCTGTAAAGCACTGTGAAGCGGTATTTAAGTCTAAGTGCCATTGCTATTGCTATTTTTGGAAGTTTTGCCAATATAACAGCATTTCTACTTTTCAATTAATTACTAAGGCTTTGCCATCATATCAGTCTGTAGAGAACCATCTCCCTCCACACCTCCAAAAAAGGGACCTAAAATGACACCAAGTTCATGACGTAGACTGGATTTCTGTATTGCACTAAATCAAACTGAGAGCATTGATTTTTGTTTTAGCTTGTCATAGGACTCCATTGTTGTGGATTACAAACCACTATTTTATTAGTCTTTTATTTTCAGGGGATATCATCATCATCATTGTCCATTACTTTGCATTATTATTAAGTTCCTAAGATTACATGAAATGTGATTTCAGGGTTCCATATAGCAAACAAAATTAAATCAGAGTCTGAGGCAAATGATTCCTCAAAGTTCCAATTTATTAAGAGAGCCATGTTGGCACATCTGGGAAAACCCAAATCTGAAAGCTTCCTGGTTTTCCCCACCCAGTTGAAAGTTCAGGATCTTGTCCCCACAGCCACAAGTCCACCACATGATCCAATCTTCCACAGCCATGCTGGCAGCTTCCACACATCTAGTTCCAGCCAGGTGCAGAGACAAAGATGACCTTGTCTTTCGAAGAAGAATATTATTATGGCTACATCTCACCCATCTCTGGATAATTCCCCCCCCCCCCTTCCTATTTTCCCACAATAGAAAATAGACAGTAGAAAGTGTGGCAGGCCTGAAGTCCAAAAGAAAATATAGCTTGCAGGCATGGCATGTGACTGGTTGGGCAATGATGTCACCAGAGTAGGCAGGTCTGAAGTGTTGGTGCCTTTTATTTTAAAATTTTGTTGGTTTAAAAAATAAAAAACCAAAACACTCTGTCAGCCAGAGACTCAATATTCCTGTTGCATCAACAGAGGGATAGTTTCAAGATCACGTGAGGTGATAGTTCTGCTCTATGCTGCACGAGTGAGGAAATACTTGGCCTACTGCATCTGATTCTGGTCATCATAGCACAAAAAAGATAATTAAGAACATAGAAAGTGTGCTGAGAAGAGTAACAAAGGGATTTGGAGGCTAAACCATACG